GACTAGATGAAGGAATTTAATTTAAATACTATTTTTTAAATACTAATAATTTAAAAAAATTATTTATTTTAAATAGTAGGAACTATTTTAAAAAGACAGGTATCTTTACGAATCAAGAACGTGGATTTAATCAGTCTAACCTCAGTTACGTCTCACGAACAGCTGATTTTAGGAATTCGGTTAACATCAATATAAAAGTGATGACTATTTCAGTGACATTTAAGTCGTGATATCCAAATTAACAATTTTTCGACGTATATTGGTAGATACCACTTTTTATAGGAAAAAATGCAGTTAGAAATAAAAAGCGTCCAACAGAGTTAAGAACAAAGTTGTCCTTCATATGTCCTTCAGGTGTTTATTTATAAACAAAATGTATAATATCGGAGTTTATTCCCCTTGAAATTATTTTATTTCTGTTTAAGTATTTTTCGCTTTGTAATTACGGTAATTACGGTAATAAGGGTAATGGAAATTATTATGATATTACGAATAGCATTAATAGTATAATTACTATTAATAATAATTAATAGAAATAGTAATAATAATTACAATAATAATAATATAATTAAGGTTGTAATATCAAGTGAATCGTATATATTTAATCACACTTAGCATGTCAATCGTTACGATAAATTCAATGAAACTGAGCCAAAAATTTCCAAACCATTTGCACTATTTTATTTTATGGATTTTGGCCACATTCTTTTTTATATTTTTTCTTTCGCAAAGTTAGTTGATTTTGGCACTTGTGGCTCTTATTTAAGAAAAAGAAGGAAGAAAACGAAAAATTAACCTAATCTAACCTAACCCAAACATTTTCAAACTATTTGCACTACCTCATTTTATGGATTTTGACCAGGTTCTTTTTTATATTTTTTTTTTTGCAAAATTAGTTGATTTTTGCGCCCGTGACTCTTATTTAAGAAAAAGAGGAAAAGAAAAAGAAAAGGAAAACCTAACCTAACTTAACCTGAACCAGAAGTTTTCAGATCATTTGCACTACTTTATTTTGTGGAATTTGTCTACATTCCTTACTTTTCTTTTGCAAAATTAGTTGATTTTGGTACTCGTGCTTTTTATTTAAGAAAAAGAAAAGAAGAAAAGGAAAACTTAACCGATTTATCTCGTACGTAATTTCTCTCGACGAAAATTTATAGTTTTGTGGTGATTCGCACTGCGTATGCCAGCGCTCGTCGCGGCGGCCGGGACAATAATCTCGGCGTCGTAGAAGGCCACGAACTGATCCCGGGTCTTCTGTCTTAGGAGCTTTTAAAGCTGCCGAGTGTGCACGGAAAGGGTGGAAAAGAACCGCCAACCCGCGCGCGGGAAAACTATGTTTCCGCGGGAACCGTTTGCGCGGGAAAGTCGTGATGACTGCAAAGGGGGGTCGTAAATCAAGCGAGACGTTGGTCTGCAACATCACTGCCCGGTCCCAAACTAATCCCCGGCATGACATTGACGATTGCCAATGCCATCCCGGGGACAATGCCTGCTGGTCTGCAGTGACTGCTGGTACGTTTCGGAGACACACCCGGTGTACACTCGGCCCTAATTTACCTGCTCCTTTGACATGGGCGTAGTGGCGGAATCTTAGCCGCCACAGTTTATGTATTAGAGAAAAACTATCTATAGACGATAGCCGAAGATAAAATAAATTTTGTCGAGATAATTCGTAGTTAGCAGTGTCGACATTAAGAGAAAATATTTTGTAAGAAATAAAGCATCTGTTCGCATGTTTCTAACAGGGAGGTGTGCGATGCAATCGGAGATCTTGACGGCAAAGATGGCGCCAGCGTCTACTGCATGGACAAGTGTCTCGTTTATCCACCCAGCTGTCCCTCTCATCGCTGTCGCTGTTACTAAACGAATTTTGATTACATATTCGACGATAATTTGGCTACGTTCAGAATTATTGCAACTTCTCGATGGGTTGCAGAGAATTATCTTTAGTTCCGACCGATATTAATTATTCTGTGATTTTGCACGTATATTCGACGATTAATGGTACAAAATTTTTATTAAAATTTGTATTTTGACAACACTGTTCATTAGCGAGAATAGAAATTGAATAGCCGTCCTCAAGCGTCACCAGTTATAAGGAATGTAATTAACATTTTTGTACAATTGTAAATAACGTGACGCAGAACTGATTTGTTAAGTAACTTTGTCGATTTTGATAATGACTTTACACTTTTGTATAGGAACACGACTGATATCGTTGTATCGAACAACTTCCATACCGTCCATGAATAATTTTTATTTTCTGACAATCTAGTATTAGTACTTGATAATCGTAATCGCTATTTTTCCTACTTACTTTTCTACGCGATGAATAAGTACACGATGATTGGTCATTTTATTGAAAATATGTAATATTTATTAAATTGAGAAATATGTTACTGAGAGATTACTCTTATGAGAGATAAAATTATTTGGTTCATTAAAATATTGTAAGAACATCGTCTGTTTCATTATTATTATTCTGTCATTGACATAATTGTTTACGGTAGTTATATACGAAGAGGTATATTTGAAAAGACTTGTATAACTATTTTTAAGATTAATTTTCATTTTAGTTAGTGAAAAAGATCGAAAGTTCGAAATCTTGTTACTAACAGAAATGAAATTATTTCTTACTTTAGTTTTTCGAAAATACGAAGATTGAAATAAAAGTTGATACGCTCATATGAAAATATGTATTTGGTTTTTTTAAATTATAAATAAAATGTCCTTTTTTTATTTCTTCTAAAATATACGAATTAAAATAAAAGTTAATACGTTTATGCGAAAAGTAAATTACATTTTTTGAAATTATAAGCGAAGTTTTGTCTTTCTTTTTTTCCAAAATTCGAAAATTGAAATAAAAGTTAATACGCTTATGCGAAAAGTAAATTACATTTTTTGAAATTATAAGCGAAGCTTTGTCTTTCTTTTTTTCCCAAAATTCGAAAATTAAAATAAAAGTTAATACGTTTATGCGAAAAGTAAATTACATTTTTTGAAATTATAAGCGAAATTGTGTCTTTCTCTTTCCTCTAAAATTCGAAAATTGAAATAAAAGTTAACGCGCTCGTGAAAAAAGCCTACTCCATTTTCTTCAAATCGTAAATTTGGTATCAGGAAATGGATAATATACGACTAAATATACGTTTTGGAGTACAAATGTGTAAATAAATACGCGAAACTTACGTGTAAATGCAAAGTATATATTTGTATAGTAAAACTATATGTACAGTAAACATATGTACAGTAAAACCTAAATAGGCTTCTGTTCGCTTAAATGGTCAACAATTTGTCTACTTAAATAACTAAAAGTTATCCTCACTGTAACATTATTTACAATTCATAATTGATAAAATTTGTATTTTAAGACTAAGTCGGTATAAATCATCGTTGATGAAAGAATTTGTTGTTTAGTATATTTAGTAGATTAAGAAATGGGTCATGAACAAAAGCAAGTGAAGACGATGAGAATTGTTAGACATAGATAACGAAACATAGAAAGTAAACCCTTTTTTAACGACGACGGTGCTGCCTCTAACGACAATTTGCGTACATATTCTAACGGTGTCGATTACGACTCAATTACTAATTTATTACTGAAACAAGAAAAACAAAGTTATTATATTACTTTATATAATTAATTTTATTATATAATATTATATTATTTTATATAAGTAATTTATATTACTACGCGACAATCATCTCAGCACGAAAGAACAACAGAACTCTTAGTTCAACTAGTTAATGTATTAAGTAACTTATCGTGACTACGATATTTCAGATTATTGGGGCCCTAGGACCGCACGTCCTAAGTTAAGTGGGGGACTGTTCTGTATCTTTATTGCCAGCATCCCTTGACTCGCGGACACTCGTTGTTACCTGGCCACCACTTAGGTGAACCTTAACAAGGGTCAATTAAACACCCTTAAGACGATAGGCGTAAGGACCCAAATTGTTTAAACAACCACCGCCACCGAAAGACGCTGGAGTTAGCACACACCCCCAATATTATTCGCAACCAATCAGTAGACAGACCAAGCTTATAAAACCACCGACAGAGCAATCACGAAGAGAGTTCTTCTAAAATACAGTCCACTTAACACTTCAAAGCTAGACAGAACCTTTCTCAAAGAACCGTCCGTCACTAATCGTCGTCAACTAAGATCGACCTAGTAACGATATACAATACCCAATTATATTATTAATTATTAAAGTGAATTGTTAAAGTTAAAGTATGTGTAATATATTTAAAAAAAAAAATCATAATTTAATCATCAAATGCTTCATTCCAATGTATTCGCGTAGAGAACGGCCTTGTCTGTCACACATTACAGTGCTGTATCGTTTCTACGTACTCTGCGTTGCTGAAAAGAAGTCATCTGAGAAACTTGTAGGACCCAATCCCCACCAATCCAACCATTCTAACATCATGGCAGAAGTTGAGTAAAACGCTTCCCTTATTGGTAGAACTGATCTCTTCCTATTAGCCCGGTCACAGAACACCATATGACAAAGAAAACGAACGAAGCAACGAGACAAAGCGAGACACACGCAACAAATAGATGCAAGAGCGTAGACTCATCCCAAAAGCATATTAACTTCAGATTCTTCTGATGAACACACGATTATTTGCAATTACTAATTACTAATTAGCATCTTGATTAACTTTTCATTGCATTACGCAGCAAACGTGACGTACTATACACATATATTTTATATTTATGTTGTATCGTATGATTTTTTAAACGGTTATCTAGTACGATGCAATTGCATAATTAATTTATCATAAAAGATACATCTTAAATTTTAAATCAATTTTCATAAATGATGTTAATTATTATTAATTTTGTACTTCTTTACCTTATAAATCTTCTGAGCTATTGTCATCTGATTCCTTATTCGACTCGCTGCTTTGTATTTCCAATCCTAGGTCTTCAATTGCGTCTTCTATTATTCGAGTGTAAGAATTTTACGGATATCTTACGCCTATGTTAACGTATCACGTTACCGAACTTGGAGGTTGTAGTTTTGGGACTGTCATAGAAGAGTGTGTATTATTAATGGAATACCCCTCTTGCCACGCCCCTGAACGAGATGACTTCTTTTCAGCCACGCATAGTAGTTCGCGTCAGGCTCTGCCGTCCGAAGAAATAGCCTCGCGCACAATTCAGCCGTGCCTAAGAGGTTAGGGTTAGTCAAGAAATTCATAGATAAATATGAGTTACTCGCTGCGAATGAGTTAATCACCTCTGTCATTCGCACCGACGGGTTACTCTATTTCTTATCGCGTAATTATATACAAACCTTGAAATATGTGGAAATATACGCTAGTTAACGAATCGATACTCAGACGTCGAGACGTCGGGTTATTACTCCAGCGATGATGCCTGAGGCGGTTCAGTATCCACCTGCACACTCGAACATGATTCTTAATTAAGTTCAGGTGCCATGAGATGTAATGCGATGTTCGGTAACAGGAGTAAAAGGATTAATGTAGCGTTCAGTAAAGATAAATGATTCTGTACGGAGTGTGCAAAACGTTCGTAATTACGTATGCATGCATGTGTGTATATTTGTATATATATACAGGGTGGGAGTTTTATCTGGATTTTGTGGAATATCTCGAAAATCCGAAGATGTTCTGTGTATATTTGTATATATATACAGGGTGGGAGTTTTATCTGGATTTTGTGGAATATCTCGAAAAGAACCGAAGATGTTTGGAAAATAGCATCTCTTTGAAGTCTTAACAAGCATTGTTAAGTTAGGAATAAACAGATATAGCGTTCCATTTAATACTAGATCTACCATGGTTTAAATCACCATTTTCGAAAGTTTAATTAAAAATTCAACGTTTTCACCTGAATTATTCGTCTTCGCGATTTTTCTTCCAATATACGTATAATAACTTTCTCAATATCTTCCATTATTCCATTTTTCAAAGCTTCTGCTTCTTTTTCATTCACCAGTTATTTGACCATGGTAAGTTTAGTGTTAAAATAAATACTATGATTGGAAAAGTGTTGGTGTTTATGAATTGAATTTATTTTACATACTATTATATGTACTTACTGATGCAAAAATTAAGAAACAAAGTAGTCGTCTTCATTTTCAGTGATACGTATGTGGAAAGTAAGAACAGTAGGTACGAGGCAATAATATTTCTTAAAGGACTATATTATTTATCAATTTTAATTATTTATCAATTATTTATCAATTATTTATCACGAGTATCGTTGTAAATATTTTTATAATAATAAAGTTATAATTTGTAACAGTGAATAATAAACCGTAGGCTTAGTGTTAGAAAAATTAACTTGACCTTGAAATCTTCTATTTCGTTCGACGGACAAGAAAAATGTTTACTTACCATTTTATGTCCCCCTTTATAGTAAGTAATTATTGTACGAGTATTCTTTCAATTTCTTTGGTTCATCTTGATGGATTTCACAGAGTCCAGTGAAAACACTTAATCTGACATGTACACGTGTTTACATGTATGCGTCGGTGATTATTAAAGCGGTTATTATATATTTTACGCTGTCCCCATTTACATTATAATAACGTAACACCGTTTTTGTGAAGTAACGGAAAATTCAACGTTTAAATCGAGTTTATACCGTATCGTGATTAATTCTTCAATAACATGCTACGTAATCCTAATTAACTATTTAATTACTATAACCTAATTAACTACACTTGGAACAAATTTTCTATTAAAAGCAATCCTTTTAAAATGACTTTTTGCCTTGACTTGTTATCGGGACGGAACGACAATAGAGCTAGACCTGTATTTTGTGATAACTAACAGTAATAATTCTACGATGATCGTTATATTTAAGAAAATTTCTCTTTGTGCA